ACACAGACACACACACACACACACACACACACACACACACACACACACACACACCCCCACCACCACCACCACCCCCACCACCCCCACCACCACCACCACCCAACCCTGTGTCTTTTTTTTTCTTGTAAATGCAAGGCACAAAATGGGCATACTGGCACATGCTTTAATTCCAGCACTCAGGAGGCAGAGGCAGGAGGATCTCTGAGTTCAAGGTCCATCTAGTCTACAAAGAGAGTTCCAGGGCAGTCAGGGCTACACAGAGAACCCTGTCTTGGTGGGGGTGGGGGTGGAGGGAGAGAAGCTGAGAATATCTAAAAGTGTACAAAGTATGTTGATGGGGAATGTACTTCTTTGTATGTTTATCTTGTTGATTACTGAATAAAATACTGTTTGGCCAATGAGACAGCAAGTTAGATAGGACTAGGAGTCAAAGAGGACTCTGGGAAATGTAGTAGAGAAGTGGTGATCCAGGCAGGAAGTGACATAGCAAGGAGACTCATAGCAAGGAAACAGGAAGTGTCCCCTTTTTCCCTTTTGCCTCCTCCAGCAGCGGGATATGAGCCACTGGCAAGAGAGGGTGCCAGCAAAAGTCATCCTCTATAAGATAAGTCTTATAAAATATATAGATTTATGATAATTAAGACTGAGCTAACAGATGAGGAATCCTAGTCACTGGCCAAGCAGCATTGAACCTAATACAAGTCTCTCTATGCATTAATTTGGGCCCTAACTTGGTCGGTCGGCTAGCATAAAGCGCACACGTGGTGGTGGGGCTCAACTTTTGGAAAAAAGATTTATCGTAACAGTATGTAGCTAGTTATTTATTACCTATTAAAACATTACTTGTGGAAGCTGTGGAGATTTCATAGACTATGGAAAAAGTCAATAACTAGTTGTTTTCTGTGTACTACTGATGCCATAGAACTTTTTTTTCCATCTGGACTTTTCTGATTTCCATTGTTGAAATCATCTGGACTTCCAAGTTAAGAAGTTTGGGGAAGTAGAACTGGGAACTTTGGAGTCATTGCTTAGTAAGAACCTGAATGAATGTAAGCCTTCACTGGCTCTGTGTTTCTGAACATTAAGATATCTTCCTACAAGCATCCATCCAGCCTCATCAAATGCCCTATAATCCGAACAATTAGCATGACAAGGTCTTACATTTACCAGCCACTAAGGCAGAGTCTTGCAGACTGCCCTATGTAAGCACAGCATGAGGAACTGTGACTCTTGACGCGCAACCCCTGGACCACACAGCTTACACACCAAGAGCTTTAGCCTTCCCAAAACTTGAAGCACAAAACAAAAACATTTATTTTCACTTGAGTGTGTTTAAAATATCAAAATGATACATTTTGAAAATATTATCAAAATGAGTTAAATCCGAAAGGATCTTCTGTCCACTTGGTTAACATGAACATTCCTTTTCTTTAAAAAAAAAAAAAAAATTTTTAAATTTTATGTGAATGGGTATTTTGCCTGCATGTATGTATGTCTGTTCACTGCTTGTGTGGTTGGTGCCTGAGGAGACCAGAAAAGGGCATCGATCTCCTGGAACTGGAGTCAAGGATGGCTGTGAGCCACCATGGGAGTTCTGGGAATTGAACCCAGATCCTCTGGAAGAACAGCAAGTGCTCTTAACCCCTGAACTAACTCTCTAGACCTGAACACTCCTTTTCTTTTCTTTTCTTTTTTGATTTTTCGAGACAGTATTTCTCTGTGTAGCTTTGTAGACCAGGCTGGCCTTGAACTCACAGAGATCCACCTGCCTTTGCCTCCCTAGTGCTGGGATTAAAGGCAAGTGCCACCACCGTCTGGGCTTCCTTTTCTAAAACCTCTAGCAAATAAAAGTTTTATTTTTGGAGGAGGCCAAATGGTATGGGAGTGTGTAGGCTAGAGGATAACCTTGGGTTATCATTCCTCAGGTGCCACACACCTTGGCTGGCCCTTGGTCTCCAAGGATCCACCTGCCTCAGTCTCCCTGGCACCTGAATATATATATATATATATATATATATCTGGGTTCTGGAGATCAAACTCAGATCTTCAAATAAGCTAGCTCTTCAGCCCCTTTGACTGACATGTTATTCCTAGGAATATGTTCAGTGGTAGAATGCTTACCTACCACACATTTATAAAGCCTTGGGCTCAATTCCCAGCACACGAAGTAAATAGGTATTTATAACGTTATGACTTTGCATGTGTAGATCAGCTGGGGAGTGAACCAAGGATCTTACTAGCTAGGCATGTGCTCTATCACTGAGCTATATCCCCAACCCTCATTAAAATACTCTGGGTATGGGCTGGAGAGATGGCTCAGTAGGATATAGCATTTGCTGCTCTTCAGAGGACCCAGGTTCAATTCTCAGCACCCACATGGCAGCTCATAACTGTCTACAACTCCAGTTCCAGGGGAGCCAATACCTTACTTTCTTTGGTCTCTTCAGACACCAGGCATGCACATAGTACACATACATACAGACAAATGTTCATACACATAAAATAAATTTATAAAACATTTTAGATAGAGACAATTGACTACCTCCTATGAAATACTACCTAATACTAGAAACTAGATGTTTATGTCAAATGTAAAGTCAAACCTTCTGTTCTGTATAAGCAATTTTGTCAATTTTATAATGACACCTAGGTCTAGCATCATAGCACAAGCCTGTCATCCCAGCACTTGGGACATAAAAGCAGAAGGATCAGTTCAAAGCCAATCTCAGATAGCTATAGAATGGGGGAGGGGAAACACTAGACCTTAACTAATCCTATCTATGACCTCTCATTTGTAAAATTGTGTCCTGGCTAAAACTCTAAGAAAAAAAGGGAATAAAGTAAATCAATTTATTATACATTATCACTAACACCAACACCAAAAATTATTCTAATTTGAACACTCCCTATGTACTTTTTAGCAGATATCAGCAGAATATAAATGTCCCCATGAACCACAGTCCAAATCTATTTAATCATATTGAAAGGAACTTTCCATCACACAGATGGGACAAAATTCTCCTTATATGAGACAATCTAATGCTCTAATTCAATATACTAAAGAGCATTCAGAAGATGGAGATGACTCAGCAGTTAAGAACATTTGCTTCTTTGGAGGAGGGGGGCTCAAAACAGGGTTTCTCTGTGTAGCCTTGGCAATCCTGGAACTCACTTTGTAGACCAGACTGGTCTTGAACTCACAGAGATCTGCCTGCCCCTGCCTCTGGTATGCTGGGATTAAAAGTTTGTACAACTGCCCGGCACAAATGTGCACTTGCAGAGAACATGGATTAGGTTCCTAGCATACATATGAAAGTTTACAACCATCTGTCACTCTGTTTTTAGGGGAACCTGACTCCTCTCTTCTGAACTATGAGGGTACCAGGCATGCACATGGTACACATACATACACACAGGCAAACACTCATAAACATATTCAATGAAAAACATACTAAAAGATAAAACAAGGCCAGGTGTGATGTCACATGCGTTTAATCCCAGAACTCAAGAGGTAGAGGCAGGCAGAACTCTATGAATTCCAGGCCAACCAAAGATACATAGTAAAATTCATAGAAATCCACAAACTCAAGAAACTACCTATACCAAACACAAAAAGGCTTTTATACTGATTATGACAGTGAAGCCAACTCAGTGTTCTATGCACAAAATTAGGCTTATACTCTGACATTACACAGAAACAGTGAAAACTACTACACAAATACATACATACACACATGAGACTGAGCTACATCCCCAACCCTCATTATAGAGACAGGATCTCTATAAATGGAACAATTTATTTATTCTCAGTCCAGCTGCAAACTCCTGATCCTCCTGCCTCAGCTTCTTGAAGGCTGGGATTTACCTTTTAAAAAACAAAACAAAACAAAACAAAAAACCAGCTTTTCAGGAGTGGTGGTACATACCTACAATCAGAAGTTTAAGCTTAGCCTGGACTACATGAGATCTTGTATCACTGCTCCCCAACACAAACAAACAAAACAAAAACCCAGTCACTAAATAGTAAATCTCTAAACTATACTGAAAACGAGTACTAACAATTAAAGGTATAATATTCCATTTCATACAATAGTGACAACCATCTGTCACTCTGTTTTTAGGGGAACCTGACTCCTCTCTTCTGAACTATGAGGGTACCAGGCATGCACATGGTACACATACATACACACAGGCAAACACTCATAAACACGTGGTTGCTAACAGCACAGGCTCTGAATTAAGACTGTTCTTGTTTTTAAGACAGGCTCTTGAAATGTAGCCCTGCTTAGACTAGAACTAGCTATGTACATTGGGTACCCCAAAACTTGCTATTTAGCCCAGGCTGGCCTTGAACTCAATGTGGTGATCCTCCTGACTGCCTCTCAAGTGACAAAATTACAGGTATGGACCACTATGTCCAGCAAAACCACCTATGTTTGACTCTTGGTTCCACCACTCCTAGTTGAGTGATATAGAGGAAATGACGACAGTCTTCTGTGCCTGCTTCCTCACCTAAGAAGTGGGAGTACCAAGAGAAGCTTCATATGGCTTTATGCTAGGATGAAATAACAGTTGGCTAACTTTAGAATGCTGTCTGGCACATAAAAACACTCAACTAAGGATAGCTATTATTATCAAACTCAAGACCAAGAAAAATGTACTTAGCAATGATAAAAATCAATTAAGTACACACTGAATGCCAACACACCCACTGCTGAGCCTGGCACTATCTAAAGAGAAATGTATAATGCATGGTCCTTCATTCCCCAAAAGTAGTACTGCTCTAGTGACAAGGTCAAAAAGCTTGGCTTAATTAAGGGACATGGAATGACTATAAGTAGATATTAAACTGTGAGGGAAAATTGGTTGTTACATTTAAGGAAAGGGAACCAAATGAGAGCTAACATGTTTTTACATATTCACTAGGTAGGTAGCAGGTTCTATTTGCCTTTTTGAGACAGGATATCACATAGCCAGGCTGGTCTCCAACTTGCTATGTAGCTGAGGCTGGCCTTGAACTCCTAACTCCTGCCTCCACCTCCCAAAGGTAAGGATTACAGATACCCACTTTGTAGCAGGCACTATTTTAGCACTTCACATAAGTTATCTCAGTCCTCAAAGCCCTATGAAATAAATAAGATCACAGATGAGGAAACGGAGCAGGAAAAGTAAAACAAAAATCAGCAAAACACTTACGAAACTGGTTAGGAGCTGAGGGAAAATCCAAACTTAGTTCACAAACATTTACGTGCTCAGCTGTTTCCAAGTCTTTCTGTAAACAAAGCAGAGCCTGGCGTGGTAGTGCACCCCTTTAATCCCCACTACTCCAGAGGCTGAGGCAAGTAGGTCTCTGTGAGTTCCAGACCAGCCTAGTCTCATACCCAGTTCCGGGCCAGCCAGAGCTACATACAATGTCTCAGAAAACAAAAAAGTACCAGGCAATGGCACTCACCTTTACTATAACCCAGCACTCAGGAGGCAGAGGCCTGTGAATCTGAGCTCAAGGCCAGCCTGCTCTACAGATCGAGTACCAGGAAAGCTAGAGATTAATTGTTTTGAAAACCCAAACCAAAATGAAACAAAACAAAAAAGCATGTCAGAGTTGGGGCTAGTACCTCATACCTATAATACTTGTTCTCAGGAAGCTGAAGCTGGAAGACTTCCGGGAGTTCAAGGATAACATGAGCTACAAAGTGATATGTTGTCTCAAATGGTAATAATAATATTTTTCTTTACAATTTCCTTTTTTAAAAAAGATTTATTTATTTTATGGATGTGAGTGCTCTATCTTCATGTATGCCTACGGGCCAGAAGAGGGCATCAGATCCCACTATAGATGGTTGTGAGCCACCATGTGGTTGCTGGGAATTAAACCGGGGACCTCTGGAAGAGCAGCCAGTGCTTTTAACTGCTGAGCCATCTCTCCAGCCCCACAATTTCCTTTTTTAATATTTATTTTAACTATATGAGTGTTCTGCCTACATGTATGTCTGTGTACCACCTGTATGTTTAGTGTCTGTGCTTGCTGGACCCATAAAATAAATCAGCCACATAAGGAAAGAAATGCTATTCTCTGATTGAGAGTTAACTGTGAAGCTCTTCGGCTTTTTTTTTTTTTTTCTACATTAGCCTCAGAAACATCTGTCTAGACTCTTCAGTACACAGTAGGTGAAGTCAAGAATTCCCCCTCTGCACTCCACATGTACTGTACAACTGTCCATACTAGGCTGCCAAGCTACACCTCTAACCCACCAAGTGGGCTGCCCTGTTTCAGGCTGATATGCTCAACAACCCCAAACCCAAACCTGTGGTTAAACTGTTCAGAAAAAAAAAAAAAAAAAGGAACAGGAACTCTTAGATTTTCATGGGTGAGTGGATATGTGTTTTTGAGCAGCCATTCTCACAGAATACTTGGGTGTGTTGGCCATGACTTGTAGAAGCTTGGTTGCAGGCACTAGATAGTAGACACAACACCACCTACCAATTTCAAATTCCTAATTCCCACACAGCAATCCCAAGAGAAGAAATTTAAGTTATACTACCTAGGATGTATAAGTAAGATAGCCCAGCATTCAAAGAGAAAGAGGCAGGAGTCCAAAACGACAGAGGGGCCTCACTCACTCACTAGTAGTAAGCTTTAAGAGTCTATGGGGCGTGCCCCGCCTATCTGTCTGACTTCTGCTTTGCTCCCTTATCCTTAACCCAGCCACACCTGCCTCCCTGCCATTTTATCACATCAAAGTCCTTAGACCTGCCCTCAGCACACATTACCTTTCTCGGCTGCTCACAAAGCTCCCTCCCTCCATTCTGGTATCTGCTCACTCAATCATCTTCCCCCCAGAGAGGCCTTCCTCGCCAGCTTATCATCTGTCCCTTCTCCCTTCCCTCTACACCTGCTTTCTTTCTGTCAAGCACCTGCTACTACTTGATATCACTTGTATGAACACATGCAAATGCATGCAAACATCCACACGGCACCAGGCAGCAATTCATGCTTTGCTCTATCCAGTGGACAGAAGCGCTTAAAGAATGCTTGTCCACCCTGAATGAATAAACCCATCATATATGCTTGGGACTGAGGTAAATAGTAGAAAAATAAAGATGAATAAGCCACGTTTCCTAGCTCAAACGAGCTAACAATCTAGCAGGGAAGATGAACATATTACAAGAAACCACAGCTTCCAGTACACACATACAGACATATACACATTCAGCTAGGCAATTCTTTAAACTTTCTCAGTCAGTTTCCTAATCCATAGGCCAGGGATATTTGTAATGATTTCATAGGACTGTTAACATGAATTAAAATATTACATTACCCCCCCCAGGTGGAAGTGGTAAAGCCTTTAATCTCATCACTCAGGAGATAGAGGCTACGAGATCTCTGAGTTCAAGGCCATTCTGGTCAACAGAGTGAGTTCCAGGACAGACACAGAGAAACCCTGTCTTGGAAAAAAAAAAAAAAAAAAGATATCACATGTACTTTTCATACTGCCTAGCACACTATGTACTTAAACAGTAGCAAGTAACACATTAATTGTCAACTCTAATGATCCCCTTGAGTCCAATGCCTGATCAACAGCTAAATCAGTATCTATCAACAAGGAAACTGCTTTTATTTCCACACACACACCTTTTCTTATTGTTTGGTTTTAAGACTCACTCTATAGCTCAGGCTGGCCTTGAACTCGTGGAAATTGTCTTGCCTCAGCCTCCTGAGAGATGGGGTTACAGCCCTGACTCATCATACCTAGGTTTTGGCTTTTCCCTGTTCCCCTTCCCTCTCCTGTTTTCCTTTTGATAAGGGTCTCATTATATGGCCCAGGCTTGCCTTGAACTCACTATGCAGTTTAGATTTGCCTAAATAATGGCAATCCTCCAGCCTCACACTCCCAAACACTACAATTACTGCTATGCCCAGCTTCAAATCTAATTTAAGTAAACACAAATTTGCTGTTAAAAGAATCTATGCCAGGATGTGAGGGCGATCTGTCTGCTAATCTGTCACCCATTGATCACCAGGGTTGATTCGGCTGATCTGGCTGCTGAGGAATCACTGGCTCCCTCACTGCTCCATGTGTGCATCTTCCAAAGCTGCCTTCGTGCTTGGTCATAGAGGAGGACAGTCTTCGGTCAAAGGTATACGAGTAGCTGCACTCCTCAGCTAGAACCTCCAAACAAGCTCTCAAGAATCTATGCCAGGTCCTACACTTACTATACAGCTTAATACTTAAATACAGACTATTCCACAGAAAGATATTCAAATTAGGTTTAATCTTAGTGAGAAAACTTCAGCCTTGAAACAAAATTCTCTTTCTTTTTTTGTTTGTTTTTCAAGACAAGATTTCTTTCTGTGTCCCTGGCTGTCATGGAAGTAACTCTGTAGACCAGGCTGGCCTCAAACTCACAGAGATCTGCCTGCTTCTGCCTCCTGAGTGCTGGGATTAGAGGGTATGCCACCACCACCCAGCACAAAATTTTAAAAATTTTTATTTATTATTTTTGAGTGTAAATGTGGAACATACATACAAATAATGCAAACACACACAGTACACTTGCAGGTAAGAGTGTGGAGGGCAGAGTACAACTTTGTGCAGTTAATTTGTCCCTTCCACCTTTACATGGGCTCTGGGGAGCAAAGCAGAGCAAGCACTTTACCCCTGAGCCATCTTGCCTGCCCCTTGAACCAGGATTTTCTGATCTAACCTGTATTCCTGCTCCTTGACAAATGAGAACTGGAACACAAAGTACCATACTTTCTAAGCATCGATCACATTATTGTTGTTTTTAATATCTGGGTTTCACAAGCTGAATGTTCTTCCTACCACCAAACACCCACTCCTAACCCTACCCTCACCAGAAACCTACCTCTCAAATTCTACAATTTACATTTAGATTTAAAAGCAAAGTGACAAGCTGAGTTTGGTAGTACACGACTTTAATCCTAGCACTCGGGAGGCAGAGGCAGGTGGATCTCTGAGTTCAAGGCCAGCCTGGTCTACAAATAAGTGAATTCCATGACAGACAGAGCTAGAGAAATTCTGTCTCAAAAGTAAAATAAAAGCAATGCAAAGTGACTGCTTTAAAGTGTAGAACATAATTGTAATTCAGAACTGACCCTAACAGTATAGTTAAGCTCTCTAAAACACAATAACACAGATAGTTGTCACCTTTTTTTTTTTTTTTTTAAAAGAAAACCTGCCTCTGTTGTTCTGTTCACAAGGCTCTAGGCTGATTCTGAATCTCTAGAAACAGCCTGTATTTGACTCTCAGCTACAATCTTAGACTCTAATGGTGAGGAGTGAGTTTTAAGGCAAGCAGTTACAGACTACATACTCGGTATGTAGTTGTAGCCAAGCGTCTCTGTGTATCAGATTTATACAAGGATAGCTCAACTGAGACAAAAAACGAAATATCATGCTTGAAATTTAAAAAAATAAATACTTCTTTGCTACAAAAGACAACGTAAATTAAAATGTTCCCGGTGCATTCTCTAACAAAACAGGAGTCCTCCCACCCCTTAAATACCAGTCACTGACTCTGATTTCCAAATTAATTACAGGAAGCACAGTGTATTAAGTCACCCAAACACACGCATTCGCCACTTCCCTTAATTGAAAGTTGCTGATGTCCCAGGACCCAACCGCTGAGCAGAATGTGAACCTAAAAGCCCTTAACCAGCAAGCAACCCCTGATCCAAACTGTGGAAAGCGAGGTGGGTGGAGAGACGGCGATGACAGGGAAAATTCGGCTGACCACTGCGTCAAGTCAAGACTGTTGCTCACAGTCCTGGAGATGACACACACTCCCTCCCACCCTCGGGCTGTCAAGTAGGCTCTGTTGACCCAACACCGTGAAATCACAATGCCTGAGACAGGGGTGTGGACCTGAAGGGCCCGAGCCTGACCGACCCGCCGAAGGCAGCTCGCCGCGCCCGGAGTGGAGGCTCTCGACGGCCTCGGCTGTGGCCCTGGCTGCGACCCTGACCGGGCTCCGCGTCGTGGCGACCTCAGCCAGGCCTGTCCCTCGGGTCGCCCCCCGCGGCCCCCCGCTCCCAGCTGGGTCCCCTCGCTCACTGGCTTGACTGATCCGCTGGATGTTGCCACTGCACGTCTGGATGATGCTGTTGAAGTCCCGGAGCTGGGGCCCCGAGGGCCCGGGATTCCGATACATGTCTAAGGGACCGTAGGACATCGACAACGAGCAGAGACCGGGTCGCGCTTCGCGGCGCTCCTACCGGAAGCTGCCAGTAGCCAGGCTCCGCAGCTGAGAGGAAAACCGGGAAGAGAAAGGGCGGGGGGCGGGGGGGAAAGGAGCGG